TTCCAAAGTACCAGATGCTCCATTTGCAATGAACTCACACTCAAAAATTCGCCACGCCCAGCCCTTGAAAGCCACGGGGACCAAAATCGGCACCCAGATAGCCAAGGCCACGCCCCATCCAATGCCGCTATTTTCCAGCTACACGGACGAATACATCGAGATTTTCAAGCAGCTGAACCCCCTATCGGACGTCTCAGTCAACTTGGAGCTGCTCCACCCCAAATCGCGGGGAAGCGTGACGCTCCAGTCGAACAACCCGAAAGATTTCCCCATCATCGACCCCAACTACTTCTCGGACCCCGATGGGGAGGACCTGGAGAACATGTACAAGGCCGTCCAGGTGGCGCTGAACTTCAACAGCACCAAAACATTCCGGGACCTCAGCGCTGAGCTGTTCTTCATCCCCTACCCGAACTGCGACCGGCAGTTTGAGCTGCGCAGCAAGGACTGGTGGTACTGCGCCCTCAAGACCCTCTCCAGCACTGTAAGTGGCTGATTCTGGCCGGGAAGCTGGAAGGTTCAAGTTGGGGTTCTTCCAGCTCTTTCATCCGGTTGCCACTACCAGAATGGGCCCCGATCCAGCCACTTCTGTGGTCGATGCCAAGCTGAAGGTCCACGGAATACGGAGGTTGAGGATCGTGGATGCTGGGGTGATTCCGGACCACATCAGCGGCCATCCAAATGCCGCAGTGGTGATGATTGCTGAGAAGATCTCTGATGAGATCAAGCGCGAGCATTTGGGCTGGGCTGACGTTGACTAGTGTGTTGGAGGGCAAATAAAAGCATGTGGAGCAATTGTGGAGGTTTTCCCTATCTGCTGGTGGCGGCAGCTTGGAGGTGCCTCCAGAGGTTGGGGAGCAATGGGCTGTTGAAGTTGGGCTAGCACTGCGCTGGTTGAGGCCATGCCCTACTTGGCTGGGGATTGATTTGCCGCGGCCCTGAAGATGGTGGGGCGACGAAACTTTGTGACAATATAGCCGGGAGGGGGGTCTAGCAACAGGGGGTTTGAAACGGTAAATTTGGCAACGCCTTATTTAAAACGCGGCAATCCAAAACAGTGACGAGCCCAAATGCAAGTTTTGCGTTGATCTTCTAGTGCCACGATTGGTACCATGCGATATTTTAAGCGATTTGGGCCAAATTGGTTAGAGCTGGACCATCTCTACTAAAAGGTAGATTTGGCAACGCCGTACTCCCAGTCGTTTAGCCGCAAGCGGCTTTTGAAAATTTCCAAACGTGCAAGTGCAACTTTTGCGATGACATCAAACTGAAAAAATCCCTGCAGCGCCATTTTTTCGAGAAATTTTACAACATTTATGCCCCTAGTAGGGGGAAGCCAGGGGTTATCGCAGACTACAACAGGCAACGCTGCATTAAGAGCGGTTTCCACGAAATCATCAGTTGAACATTTGCAAAAATGCAAATGCAACTTTTGCGTTGATCTCGAACTTAAAAAATTCCTGCTACAAGATCTTTTAAGGGAATTGAACCAGGATTGGGTTTAGAGTAGCGCAGCTCAGACACTATTTAATGCTCAATGCGGCAACGCTGTGCGCACTTCGGTCTCGAAAAGATTGACATTTCAAGTTTTTGAAAATTGCAAATGCAACTTTTGCGTTGATCCCGAACTTAAAAAATTCCTGCATCAGCATCGTTCCAGGAAATTTAACCAGGATTGGCTGTAGAGTAGCGCTGCTAAGACACTATTGAATGCTCAATGCGGCAACGCTGTGCGCACTTCGGTCTCAGAAAGATTGACATTTCAAGTTTTTGAAAATTGCAAATGCAATTTCTGCGATGACATCAAACTTAAAAAATTCCCGCAGCGCAATCTTTTTGGGAAATTTTACCAAATTTATGCCTCGAGTAGCGGAAGCCAGGATTTATCGCAAACTAAAACAGGCAACGCTGCTTCGGCAACTGTTTCTACGAAATCATCAGTTGAACATTTGCAAAAGTGCAAATGCAACTTTTGCGTTGATCTCAAACTTAAAAAATTCCTACATCGAGATCGTTTCAGAAAATTTTATGAAATTTGCGTCCCTGGCAGGCCGAGTAATTCTGCATCTAATGGTACAATCGGCAACACTGTACTCATCTGGCGCTCGATAAAATCGACTTTAGAATATCTTTAAAGTGTCAATTGCAACTTTTACGATCACCTCAAATTTAAAAAAATCCTGCATCCAGATCTTTTGAGGGATTTTGGTGAAATTTTGGTCCTGCCTAGAGAAAGGCACGTTCTATTCAACGCTCAAATGGGCAACACTGTATTCGGCTCCATCTCGGCTGCGTCGATATTTGACGTTTTTTCGAAGTGCAAATGCAACTTTTGCGTTGATCTCGAACTTGAAAAATTCCTGCATCAAGACGTTTCTAGGGAATTTAACCAGAAATGGGTTTCGAGTAGCATACGTAACACCTGATCAAAACCTAAACTTGGCAACGCCGTATACACGTCGGTCTCGAAAATATCGACATTAGAAGTTTTTGAAAAGTTCAAATGCAACTTTTGCGATGATCTCAAACGGAAAAAATTGCTGAGACAAGATCGTTCACGCAAATGTTACGAAGTTTGGGTGCCCAGCAGGCCAAGTGGAGCCCTATCAAACGGTAAAGCCGGCAACGCTGTATCCGCGTTTATCGCTAAAAAATTAGCATCTAAACACTTCAGATGCAAATGAAACGGTTCAAATGCAACTTTTGCGTTGATCTCAAACTTAAAAAATTCCTGCATCAAGATCGTTGGCGGAAATTTTACCAACTTTGGGTATGTAATAGCCCAGGTGACCAGCTACTTACTGCCAAATTTGGCAACGCTGTATACACATCGGTCTCGAAAATATCGACATTTGAAGTTTTTGAAAAGTGCAAATGCAACTTTTGCGATGATCTCAAACGGAAAAAATTCCTGGAACCAGATCTTTTGAGGCAATTTTACCAAGTTTGGGCCTCAAATCGCACGGGACAAGATCTACCAAACGCTCAATTTGGCAATGCTGTGTCTGCTCCCGTTTCGAGGCAATCCATGTTTGAAATTTTGGGAAAGTGTAAATGCAACTTTGGCGTTGATCTCAAACTTAAAAAATTCCTGCATCCAGATCGTTGGCGGAAATTTTACCAACTTCGGGTCTGTAATAGCCCAGGTGACCAGCTACCCACTGCCAAATTTGGCAACGCTGTAGCGGCCCCCCTTTGGAATAAATCTTCAGTTGCACGTTTTTAAAGTGCACTGGCAACTTTTGCGTTGACCTCACACAAAAAAAATCGCCCCGTTGAGGCTGTTGGAGCAATTTGGGCGAAAATTGGCACGTGAGGAGCCGAAGGCAGGCTCTTTCCAACAGCATACGTCACACCCTCATAGCGCGGCCGGTTCAATCGCAAACGGCACGTGCAGATGACTTGGTTTATTCAAACAAAAAAACTGGCTCATTGCGGCTCAACGAGCGCAAACTGTTGGCAAATCCTGCGGCTGCTGAACAATTGCCGGCTTATCAGTGTTCAGTGAAGACAAGACGAGGAAAACATTGACAGAGATCAGGTCTGAAGCCCACTTAAGCGCCGGCAGACCGCGCTGAACCAACAAACTGCAAAAGGCAAATATTGACTTTGGAACCGTACCAACAATGGCCTGAATGGATCGCGATTAATCCATCGGATCGGAAAATGAGCTGAAAAACCAACAACAGCAACTGCATGTTTACCAAGTTGATCGAGGACAATGCAGTGCATGCGAGCCATCATCAGAGCCATCGGGATATAAATGGGTGGCAGCTGCAAGGCAGACGATACAGTTCTGATTGGCCATGGCAGCTCTTGTGAGGGTCCTGGTGGTCGCGCTTTGGTGGTGCCAAGTTGTGATCAACGCCTCTTTGACTGAGTACAGCGATGTGGCAATAGCGCAACGTGTGGAGCGGTTGGTGGCCAATTTGGACACCTACGTTTTCCCGGTGAATAATGATGCGTTCTTTGAAACGGTGGACGATTTGGCTGAGGATCCTTGCGGTGAGTGGTTTTGACATGGTTGTATAGAGGTGTCGGTGCTCTTTCAGGGGGTTTTTGAATTTTTTGAATCCGACCACAGATGGCCGAGTTATGCCCTAAATTGCCCAGGTTGTCCCGCTTTTTTCCCTGGGGATTTTCTCCAATTTGATTTTTGAATAACTCGCAGGTTTGGCGGGCGATTTTCAATTTTCAAACGCCATCTTGTAGGCAATTGGGGTGGCTTTAAGGGGGTTTTTCAATTTTCGAAATCGCTTCCTAAATAACCAAGATACGCGCTAATTTCACCTAGTTTTAAACGCAATTTTTGCGCAATTTTCAACTTACTTTGTGAGCAGGCCCGGTAGGTTTAAGTTGGGGGCGGAATTGAAAATTTTGAGTTCAAAAAAAAGTTTTGCTCTTTTTTTGATTTTTTTGGTGAACAGTTCTTGTAGCCGAAAATGGGGGGCAGAATTGCCAAATTGTCGGCTTAAAAAACGCGTTTTCTTTATGTTTCTTTAAATATTTCAGCGAGTTTTCAACCGATTTCAAATTTTCAAACCGTCACGTCCGGCCAAAGTTCCCATCATTCCAATGTTGCCAAAACCCTCAAAATGCCAGCAAAACCAACAAAATTATGCCCCAAATAGACCCCGAGTTAAAAGGGCTGTGGGGAAATTTTCATTTTTTGTGAACAGACCCTGTAGCTGCAAATTCCCGGGAATTTCTTTTTGGTGAAAACCACCTCTTTTTGGCCTGGTTGCCACCCAAGTGCCTTTGAGGCTCCTCAACCGGTTTCAACTGGAAGTTTGAGGCCCTAGTAGATGCGACTCAAACTTCGCCAAAACCCCCATTTTCTCAACTCCATTGGCTGTAACTCAGCGGTTTTTCCTGCGATTTTCACGCCCCAAGCAGCAGTTTTTGGCCGAAATGGCAGGCTTTCCTGCAGGGGCAAAACCATCAAAATCCAGCCAGTAGCAACCAGGAGGCACCCAAAATTGTACCAGCAGAAAATCGATTTCAAAAGCTGCAGCTTCGGAATCAGTGGCTTTGGGAACTGTTTCCAACTCCCCTGATGATGGCGCAGGGACGAAACTTTTTAGACGCCAAACCGCAAGTTACAGGCCATCCAGTGAGCATACTGGCAAAGCTGGGTCGTTTTTAGTTTGCGAGCAATCGATTGTTGAAGTTTGCTTGCCCCATTTAAGCCCCAGTGACTAGTCAAGGGAAACTCCTGTCCGATAACTCCCCTGATGATGGTAGCGAGCTGAAACGTCTAACACTTAAAGACCAAGATAGCGTCTGCCTAGCGCACATACAGGCAAATTTCTGCCGATTTCAGTTTTGGAGCACTGACTTTTTGAACTTTGGCCCTTTCCATTGAGGTCAAGTTGTTGCCCAGGGAAACTCTAAACGTTTTTTCTACATGTTCCCAAACTCACACAGCAGTGAAACTTGGCTCATTTAAGGACAAAACAATTCCCGATCGAATGCCGGTAGGCGCAACTTTGTGTTTGTTTTTGTTTGAAAGAAATCGATTTTTTGTCTGTTGCCGCTTTAAATCAATAGCTGCAGTCTTGGGATGACCGGCATGCGATATAGTTTGCAACTCCCCTGATGATGGCGCAAAACTGAAACTTTTCACCCTGGAAAACCGAGCTGTGCTCCATCTGGCGAGGGTACTGGGAAAGTCGAGTTTGTTTCAGTTTTGGAGTATTCAGTTTGCGAAATTTTGGCCCCATTGCCCCAGCCCAAGTAACTAGTCCGGATAATGTATGTATTAGCACTGCTCTGATGATGGTGGACGGCTGAAACTTTCCCCACTTGGAGCCGAATGGTCGCCCTATTTGTTGCACATATCGCCAATATTGTGGCGTGTTCCAGTTGCGACTAGCATTTAATTTTCCAAAGCTTCGTGTGCTCCATTGGCCCATCGCGAGTAACTACTTCGGATTAATGTCTGTGCAACAACACACCTGATGATGGTGGACCGCTGAAACGTTCCTCGCTTGGAGCCGGAAGGTCGCCCTATTTGTTGCACATATCGGCAATATTGTGGCGTGTTCTGGTTGGGAGTGGTGATTACTTTTCCAAAGTCTGGTTTGCCCCATTGGCCCAGCCCAGGAGAACAGTCCGGGTTTATGTCTAGGTGACAACTCTCCTGATGGTGGTGGGCGGCAGAAACTTTCCTCGCTTGGAGCCGAGAAGTGGCCCTATGTAATGCGCATATACAGGAAACTGTGGCTGTTGGCGATCAGTCAAATTTGGAAGTTTATTTGCTCCATTGAGGCCCCAGGAAAATTTCTGGTTGTGTCAACTTCAGCGGCTTGTAACTCCGCGGCGTTTAATGGGATTTCTGAAATTCAAACACCCAGTTTTTGGGAAAACAATGGGCTTTCCAATGAACCCAGGCCCATCCGAATCCGACCAGTAACTACCGAGATACGCCCTAAAAACCATGTGTTTCCAGTGGAGGGCGACTTCGATTTCATCATAGTGGGCACGGGCAGTGCGGGCGGCGTTTTGGCCAACCGTCTGACCGAAGTTGCCAACTTCACCGTTCTGGCGCTGGAGGCGGGCGAAGAGACACCGGTCGAGTCCGACATGTTGGGCGTCAACATCTACCTGCACCGAACCAGGCACAACTGGGGCTACAACACCACCGTGCAGGAAAACATGTGTCTTGGTAGGCCCCAATTTGCCCCAAAAAGCCCTAGTCCAGTCGCCCTTTTTCATCCCCCGCAGGCTCCGTCAACGCACGATGTCCCTACCCGAGGGGGAAAATGCTGGGCGGCAGCAGCGCCATCAACTTTGGCATGTACGTGCGCGGCCACCACGACGACTTCGACCATTGGGAGGCCTTGGGGAACCCTGGGTGGGCCTACGATGACGTGCTGCCCTACTTCAAGAAGGCGGAATCGGCCACCTTTGGGGACGATATCGATCTGGAGTATCACGGATTTGGGGGCCCACAGAAGACCGGCGTCCCTAATGACACGCCAGTACTGGTAGGGAAACTAACCTCCAAACGGTGCGTGCGCGATTCTATTGGGCTGTTGCAGACGCAGGCACTGATCGACTGTCACATCGACCTGGGCAAGACTGAGAAGGACTACAACGGGAAGGACCAGGATGGAGTGAGTCGATTGCAGTTCTTCCTGGACGGCAACACCCGGTCCAGTTCGAATGAGGCGTTCCTGAAACCGGTGAGGCGGCGCCCCAATCTGGTGGTGAGCACCGAGTCGTACGTCACGCGCATCCTGATCACCAACCAGACGGCCGAGGGCGTGGTCTACATGAAAAACGGCAAGGAATGTACCGTGCGGGCGAACAAGGAGGTTCTTCTGTCGGCTGGCGCGATCAACTCGCCCCAGGTGCTCATGTTGTCGGGCGTGGGGCCTCAGGCTGAGCTGGAAAAGCATGGCATCGAACTGATCCAGGACCTGCCGGTCGGGCAGAACATGCAGGACCATCAGTTCTTCCCGGGCATTTTCTACCGGACCAATCAGACGCTCTACAACATCACATTGCTGCAGATGGTGGACCTGTGGAAGCGGAACTTGCGCCCCCTGACGCCCAGTTTGGGCCAGCAGACTGTCAGCTTCTGGAATTTCATTGGCCCGGAGGACAGCCAACCGGAGGTGGAGTTTTTCTTCTTCGGCCCGCCCCTCATCACGCCGGATATCGCCGTTATCCTCGGGTGAGTGCTTTGGAGGTGGTTGTTAACTCCCCTGAAGATGGCGCTGGGATGAAACGTTCCTCACTTGGGCACCGACGAGTGCCCAAGCCAACCCACATATTGGGACGTTTAATGGCTCTTTGGTTTAGGAGCAATTAATTTTTTTGCGGGCTTGCTTCATTGAAGCCGAAAAGTTGTCCAGGTGGAGTAGAGCTTTTTTTGCAGCTTTGCGGTCATTAACATTAGAGCATCTTTTCAACTCCCCTGATGATGGTAAAAGGTTGAAACTTTTTTCTCTTGGAGACGCAAATGGGCTCTCCATGGGGCACATATAGGCAGATTTGGATCACCTTCGGTTTAGGAGCTTTGAATTTTTGAACTTTGGTCTGCCCTTCTGGGCGCAAACTGATGTAGAGGCAAACTGGAAAAATAATTTCTGCCTTGTCCTGGGCTCGTATGCCAGTCAAATTTTGCTCATTTATAGAGAAAAAAACGTTCCATCCAATGCCGTTAAGGGCACCTTTGTGTCTTTTCTCAATTTCAAGAAATACGTTTTTGAATATTGCATTCATCGTGGGCCAGTTGCTGCTGCTTGGCCATCAGTAACACTAGATCATTTATTTAACTTTCCTGATGATGGCAAAAGGTTGAAACTTTTTTCACTTGGAGTCGCGAATGGGCTCTCCATAGGGCACATATAGGCAATTTTGGGTCAGTTTCGGTTTTGGAGCTATGAATTTTTGAACTTAGGCCTGCGCCATTAGAGCCAAACCGATGTCGAGGCGAACTAGAAAAATGATTTCTTCATTCTTCTGGACTTGTATACCAGTGAAACTTTACTCATTTATAGGGAAAAGAATGCTCTATCCAACACTCTCAAGGGCATATTCGTGGCGTTTCTCGATTTTGAGAAATAATTTTTTGAAAATTGTAGGTCAGTTGCTGCGGCTTTGGGATCAGCAGCATTAGACAACTAGTTTACAACTCCCCTGATGATGCACGGAAAATGGAGTTTTCCACTCATAAAAACCTAAATGCGCTCTATTCAAAGCACATACTGGCAAAGTTGAGTCTTTTTGAGTTTTGGAGCAATCTATGTTAGAAGTTTGCCAGCACCAGTGAAGCCCTGGTGACGAGGCCAGCTTAAGGTCCGTGCACCAACTGCCCTGATGATGCTGGGGAGCCGAAACTTTCCACAGTTAGAGCCAAACAGCTGCTGGATTTGACGCACATATAGGCAACGTTGCACTCTTTGTGCTGTTGCTGCAATTCATTTTTTTTAAGTTGGTTTGCCCGATTGCCCCCATGTGACAAGGGCAGATTCACTTCTCGCTGGCAACTCCCCTGTTGATGCTGGCGGGCTGAAACTTTCCACACTCGAACAGCCAAAGACGCGCCATCCACTGCACATATTGGCAACATTGCGCCGCTGTTGCTTTATGAGTGATTGATGGTTGAAAAGTGAAACTTCCAGTCCAGTTGCGTTTTTGACAGCTTCAAACTCGCTTGCAGCTACACGGAGGAGTACGTGGAGATCTTCAACCTCCTGGACGCTTTGACGGACATTTCCGTCAACGTGGAGCTGCTCCATCCGCGGTCCACCGGCAGCGTCACGCTGCAATCCAGCGATCCACGCGACTTTCCAGTGATCGATCCCAACTATTTTTCCGATCCAGAGGGCGTTGATCTTGAGAATGTCTACAAGGGCGTCGAGGTGGCGCTGCAGTTCAACGACACCGAGACTTTCCGCAGTCTGGATACCGAATTCTTGCTGATCCCCTATCCAGAGTGCGACGCGCAATACGATCAACTGTCGAAGGACTGGTGGTATTGTGCGATTAAAACGTTGGCCAGCACGGTGAGTGGTGCGAATGGAGTGAGCTCTGGATGAGTTGAGGTTGTGTTGCAGCTGTTCCATCCAGTGGCCACCACCAAAATGGGTCCAGATGCCGCCACCTCCGTGGTGGACTCCCAGCTGAAGGTGCATGGAGTTGATCGGTTGCGGGTGGTGGATGCTGGCGTCTTTCCAGACCACATCAGCGGCCATCCGAACGCGGCCGTGGTCATGATTGCCGAGAAGATCGCCGACGAGATTAAGAGCGAACATTTGGGCTGCAGCTATTGGGTTTAGGTTAGTTTGACTGGATTAGAACGAACATTCGAAAAAACCGATTTGCGTTGCTGTATTTGATCCCCATCCGACTTGGAACAGTCGATGAAACTTCGATGCAGTTTCGATAAGGTGGGGCGGGGCTCTGGCACGAAAATTTCGGCGATAAAACGCCGAGTTTTACGAGCAAAGTTGCGCTTTATCGTTCTGGATCAGGGGGGCGGTTGGCGGGCCGCATAGGCGCGCTTTGAAAGCCTGCGGCCGCCTGAGGATGGCCCGTGTGTGGTTGAAACTTTTGGTTCCTCTAGCCCAAGGCCTGGGCTCTGCAGTGGTGGGG